TGTGTGTGTGTGTGTGTGTGTCTGTGTCCAGGTGGATCAGTAAACTGACAGAAGCAGCTGAACTAGATGAGGCAATCAACAGTGAAGGTGAGAGGATTAAAAATAAGAATCTACCAAAATGATGATGGTGACACAGCTGCAGTCTGAAGTTTCACACACTCATGAGCATGACTGTCAGGGTAACTCTGGCTTTTAATAATTTCTTTGAACTCTTTAAATCAAACGTAACATTATGACCACTGACAGGCGACATGAATAACACTGATCATCATGGTGGTAACTGTTAGTGGGTGAGGCACATTAGGGTGAACATTTTGTTCTCAGAAACTGGCAAACATAAAGATTTGAACAACACGGGCCAAACTGTCATAGCCAGACGTCTGGGACAGAGCATCTACAAACCTGCAGCACTTGTGTGGTGCTTCTAGTCTGCAGGGGTCAGTATCTGTCAAAAGGGTTCCAAGGAGGAAACGGTGGTGGACCAGTGACAGGGTCACGGGGGGCCAAGGCTAACTGATGCACGTAGGCAGCAAAGGCTGGCCTGTGTGGCCAATCCAGCAAACAAGACGTTGTAGCTTAAATTCCTGAAAAAGTTTATGCTGGTTCTGATAGAAAGGTGTCAGAACACGCATGGTCTGCATAGTTACAGACCAGTCAGGGTGCCCATGCTGACCCCTGTCAACCACAAAAAGTAAAGAAGAAGGACTACCTGCAAATTCTTCAACATTGCCTCAACTCTACATTTGAAACTTGTTGAAACTGACACATTTGGGTTCTCCTGTGGGACAATGATCCCAAAAACATTAAAACTGATTAAATCAAATTAACATTAAGCTTTTAGAATGGCCTTCCCGAAGCCCTGACCTCAGCCCTAATGAAAATATGTGGATACACTCAAAAGCTCAAAAGTCCAGTTTTTTCAGAGTCATTAGAGATGTGTGCTGTGCAATCCTTCCACTGTGGATGAAGAACTGTGCAGAGAAATCATTAATGCCAAAAAATACCATGACATACTCACGATGAGTGTCTGTAAACTTCTGACCACAGTTACTTCCCACTAATGTATCTCTCTTACAACTAACATTTCACACACTGCACTCTCTTCTTTTCTTTGATTATCCCAGCTTTCCTTTCCATCTTCACAAATTTGGTTTTCTAAAATTTCTTTGCTCATTCCTGTCCCTTTAAAGGAAGGTGGTATTTTTCCCTTTTTCATATATTTTTTCCTTGACACACTTCCTCTCCCTTTCCCATTGCTACATCTTCCTTTCCAGTTTTCATTCCTTTTTTCCCATTTACCCTTTCTCAGTTTTTCCTTCTTTTTCGTTTTTTCTATCATTCTTTCACTCTGATTTTCATCACATCTTCACATGTGTCTTCCCATTTCTTGTCTCATGTTATCTCTTTCACTGATCTGTTGGTCCTCTAGTTTCCTTCACACATCATCTATTTATTTTCTGCTTTGCTGCTTTCTTTACATTGTCTCTATTTATGCATGTGTGTGCAGAGCGCTACAGTGAGGGGAGTGATCAGGATGAAGAAGACTTGTCGTTTTCTTCTCTTGACTCTCAGCTGGATTCAGTGGCCACCCAAAATGTAAGTAAATGCATGAAGTCCATAGAAAAGAGCTTAATGTAAAAGTAAAATAGGCACTAGCCATACCGTAGATGGGGTAATACATTTGGGAACAAATAGTCTTTGGGCTGCAGCATTTTTAGCTGCAGTACCACAAATGTCCACTGAGGAAAACTCTGGCAAAGTTTGTTCAGGCTGTTGTATTGATTTTGACTGATCGATTTGAAACCATAGTTGGTAACACCAGTTTCTGAAATACCTTGGCATTAGTTTGGGGTGTCATCACGATGCCCATCTTTATGTACACTGATCAATAACATTAATACAAGCTGCACTCTGTGCATGATGTGGCCAAAGAAGCTATAACCTGTGATGTCACGTCCGCCGGCACAAGCTGTTGTTTTGGTGTTGTTTCAGCCAGTGGTGCATTTCTCAATTTTGTGTGAGACTGTGTCGGTTTTCTAAACCCAACCCTTTCTGAAAACAAAAAACCTCAAACTCTGTGATTAGTTTGCGTTCAGTTTTTACTTCCTGTAACAGCGCTGATGTGAAACTTTTGACTGAATGGGAAAACCTATTGTTCAGAAAGACACTGTGGTGGGTACGCACGCTGTAAATGCTGGTTTAAATGGTACGTAGCTGTGGCTATAGCACCATCAGTATTTGAAGCAACCTGTGCTGGTGGGTGGGTGTATTGGGGCACTAAAAGCTGAGTACCCAGCTCCTAGGCCTTGTTCCAGATTCAGATCTTCATCTGGAATTCCCCCTCAATTTGGATTTCCTATTCACAAAGTTGGAGCAGCCCAATTAACTCAAAGTTAACAGTGGCAGCAGTGAATGATACATGATTGGCTCTACCTCTCTAAGAACCAAAACAAGTCCTTCTTCACCAACCTTGCATTCATTGTAATTCTCTTCCTTTAATAATTCCTCCAACCCTCACAGAATCCCAGCTCGAACTTCACTTAATTATTCCAGCACACTGATTTCAGATAATCTCAGGATCTTGGCAAGAAAAGTGACTTCTTTGAGTTTCTTTAAGTCTTTACTGTACATCTTTGCTGATTTGATGAAAGCTGGCATAACCTTTACATTTGTGTGCTCCTTTTGTTTCCCTGATGCCTTAGAGGGAACAGTTTCTGCCCGCTGTTGGAGGGTCCTGATTACTCTAAGTTTCTTCCAGATGGTAGTGTCAGCATAGGATTATTTAATGGTCTGTGTGCATGGGCCTCCGGTAAACTTCAATGTTGAGGTTTCCATTCTCCTCAATGTGCACAGCACAGTCCAGAAACAGCAAATTATTATTATCCTTTGTTATATCACTGAGTTGACCTGAACAATGATTCACGTGAACAATTGGTGTCATCCACGTATCTGTACCAGAGGCTAGGTGATGTTCCTTTCCTGTTCCACCTAGCCACTTCCACTTCCTCCATACAAAGGTTGGCTAGAATGGGTAACACTGGGGAGGTCATGGCGCACACATGTCCTGATAAAGACCCACATCCTTTTTCATACCTTGGCACATGATCATTAGTAGGTCAATGAAACTCATGAGCATCGTGAAACCAAAAATACAACAGGGAAGATTCAGAGTTGCTGATGCCTGTGAGTGTGAACTGTTTTTTCCCCTCTGTGTTAGTCCTGTGACAGACTGACAACTCTCACTGGGATAGGGGTTAATCAAGGGTTAATCTTAAATTTAAAATGACTGAAAACACATATTCTGAAACACTTTCTGCCCTTTTCACAGGGAAACCGTCTTCAGCCACCCTGGGAGTCGTTATCCTGCACCTCACTCCCCACCGTCTCATCAATAATCACTGAAAGCAGAAGCAGAACCAGCTCGGCTGGAAGCTCTATGAGCAAAAACCGAAGACAAAGACCAGTTTCTGAGGGCAGCGGTCGTCTGTCCTGGCTGGACCTCCCCAAGCAGGATGAAACCAGCGGAACACAGACTCCTCCTCTAATTCATGTTAGAGAGGAAAAAGAGGAGGACACAGTCCAGGGTAAACACCTGCAGCTACACGTGGTTATCATGTCGTCTCCTGCTACTTAACCTTACTGATTTTTTTCCTGTTTCCAGAAAAAACGCCAGATGAGATGGAGAGCCTCTACAACCATCTGAAAGCAGCCAGCGTCAATCCAACTGGACAGACATTTCAGAGGGACTTCAGGGCCTCATTTATCCGGCGATGTAAGAATGAAAAAGTCAACGAAAAGGTTCACCTGGTCCGGATACTCAAAAGCACATTAAAGGTGAGTCTGAACTTTTGTCTTTAACTAAATGCCAAAAAAAATGAAAGGGTTAGGGTACTCAGTTACACGTGCTGTTATCAAGCAGCAGACCCTGGGGCTGAAATGTCAAAGGGCCATCATTCATCAGCTGACAGCGTGTTGATTCCTCTAATGGCTGCTTCAGCCTGGCTCCAAAAGTGAGTCAATCCCAAAAGACGTGTTAAAGTGTCCAATTTTACAGTCGAAATTATCATGTTTACAGCCAGTATAAGAAGCTAAACCACATACTTAGATAATATCAAACAATAAATTCTTTATTTATCCCAAAATTTGGAAAAAATTACTGTGTAACACCAGTCAATTACATAGAAATACACATATACACATACGAATATGATACAGTAAGGAGCTATTCTTGAAAATGAATCCAGGTATCATGGTGGTAAGGATTGTCTGCACCTGTCCTTGAAGCAGCAGAGCTGTAACAGATGTTAGTCTTCGGCTACATGTGTGGTAAGTGGTGCAGAGGGTGTTCAAGATCCTTTATTGTTAACTTAGGTTGGTGATCAATAATTAATGGTACTCATGGCCATTGATCAGTGGTCGATCAATGGCCAACTGCAATGTTGAATTGCTAAGCTATCAGCTAATGCTAGCTGTCCTGCATAATACAGGGTCAATCGATGTTGACATGCAGACTGACTATCTAATAAATCCCTAGATTTTTATTTAAGGAGACTACTTCTGTGACTGCCTCTGACTTTATTAACAATAATATCTCCAAACTATCGCTCCCGACCTGAGCTGTTTTCTTGTAGCAGGTCTTTTCTTCTGTAAAACTGGACATTTTAACAAGGGAGTTAATGGGAACTGACCCGCTTTTGGGGACACCCTACACTAAACAGAGTAATCTACACCCTGTTTGGATTCCTCCATGAGCTGATGCCTGATGGAGGATTACTGCATGTTTCTAACACTCGTGTTTTTCAGGCTAAAGAGTCCGAGCTGCTGGCTTTGGAGAAGATCCTGAATGAACCAAATCTCACAGCGCTCATGTACAGGGAGTGGAGACTCTCCAACACCATCCTGCTGCAAGATATCCTTCAGCACAACCAGGAAGCGGAGGGTGCCACAAGCCCAGACGGAATAGTGTCTGAGATTTTAGAGCTGCCCAACACTGCTGTACAGTAACGTTATGAAGTCTGAAAGACACTGAAAGACAAAAATGTCTAAACCCCACCATCATCCTGTGATGAGAGGAAGTTGGTTCCTACTCTGGATTGAATAACGATGCTACAAGTTTACTCGAGGTTAACCTTTAAATGCTTTTCACCTCACTTCTTTTCATGCAGCAGATTGGGATGTTTGTAGGTCTTTAAAGCTCAGGAAACACTGTTTTTAATTTCAAGCCAAAACTTTAATTTGTATTTGATTAATGTTTTGTTGTTGTTTTTTTGACGATTTGCTTTATTTTGTGGATGTATTTTTTTAATATATAATTTCTGTTTATTTTATTTAAAAAGAGATGACCTCCACCAAGTAGCTTGTGTGACTTTTTTCAGTTTCTTTAGCAGGAATACTCCAAAGGAAATGATGGATCTGCATGATGGTTTTATGTGAAGTGGGGATCATTCCAGCTTAGAAGTGACTAAAGTGTTGGATTCAGCAACTTTTGGAAGGATTCTTTGAAATTGGAAAAAAATTGACATGTTGAGTCACAGCTTCACAAATACTTCCATCCATCCATCTTCTTCTGCTTTATCCGGGGCCGGTTCGCGGGGGCAGCAGCCTAAGCAGAGAAGCCCAGACCTCCCTCTCCCCAGCCACCTCCTCCAGCTTATCCGGGGGAACACCAAGGCGTTCCCATTTCAGCCGAGAGATGAAGGTCTCTCTTGGAAATGAGATTTTTAATCTCAATGAGATTTTTTACCTGGATAAATAAAGGATTAATAATAATAAAAAAGATATAATCTCTCCAGCGTGTCCTGGGTCTGCCCCAGGGGCCTCCTCCCGGTGGGACATGCCCGGAACACCTCACCCAGGAGGCATCCTTGTCAGATGCCCGAACCACCTCAGCTGGCTCCTTTCGATGTGGAGGAGCAGCAGCTCTACTCTGAGCCCCTCCCGGATGGCTGAACTTCTCACCCTTCTCCCATCACTCACGCAAGACCCCGAGATACTTGAACTCCTCCACTTGGGGCAGGAGCTCATCCCCGACCTGGAGTGGGCACTGCACCCTTTTCCGGCTGAGAACCATGGCCTCATATTTGGAGGTACTGATCATCATTCCCGCTGCTTCACACTCGGCTGCGAACCGTTCCAGTGGGAGCTGGAGGCCCTCACTCGATGAAGCCAACAGAACCACATCATCCGCAAAAAGCAGAGATGAGATTCTGAGGCCATCGAAGTGAAAGCCCTTCGCCACATGGCTGCGCCTTGAAATCCCGTCCATAAAAATTATGAACAGAATCGGAGCCCACCCATATGGAAAAGATATATATAAATCTTATAAAGTTTGTGTGAAACTTGTATGAAAAGCATACAAGAGTGAAAACAGATATAAGATCCCTTGAAAAATTATATAATGAAACTTGTATGTTTTGGATACTTACTAAAACAGTATCTGAAAGTGGCCACTTTCATGAGTAAATCATATAAGCCTTATATGATTCACTATATGAAGTAGGCCACATCTTATGCAAGTCTTTTATAAGTTTTTTCTATTTCTTTTCCATATGGGCATCATCCGCCCAGGAACGAGTCCGACTTATTGCCAGCAATGCGAACCAAGCTCTTGCAACGGTTGTACAGGGATCGAATGGCCCGTAGCAATGAGCCAGACACCCCATACTCCCGCAGCACCTCCCACAGGACACCCCGAGGGACACGGTCGAATGCCTTCTCCAAGTCCACAAAACACATGTAGACTGGTTGGGTAAACTCCCATGCACCCTCAAGTATCCTTGAAAGGATGAAGAGCTGGTCCAGTGTTCCGCGACTGGGACGAAAACCGCATTGTTCCTCCTGTATCTGAGGTTCGACTAGCAGATGAACTCTCCTTTCCAGCACCCTGGCATAGACTTTCCCAGGGAGGCTGAGGAGTGTGATCCCCCTTCTTAAAGATGGGGACCACCACCCCGGTCTGCCAGTCCAGTAGTACTGCCCCTGATCTCCACGCAACATTGTAGAGGCGTGTCAACCAGGATAGCCCTATAATGTCCAGAGCCTTCAGGAACTCAGG